CGGGTGACTGTGCATTGTATGAAGAAATACTTCCTTTCATTTGTTTTAAACTTGCTGCCTATTAATTTCATTGGGTGACCCCTGTTTCTTGTATTAAGTGAAGGGGTAAATAACACTTCCTTATTCATTTTTCTCCACAGCAGTCAAGATTTTATAAGCCTCTATCATATCCTCTCTTAGTAGTCTCTTTTCCAAGCTGAAAAGTCCCAGTCTTTTTAATCTCTTCTCATATGGAATCTGTTCCATACCCCTAATAATTTTCGTTGCCCTTCTCTGTACCTTTTCCAATTCCAATACATCTTTTTTTGAGATGGGGTGACCAGAACTGCATGCAGTATTCAAGATGTGGGCTTATAGATTCATATAGTAAAAGTGGAGGAGCTTGGTTTGCCAGACTGATCTGCAGCCTTTTCATATAGGTTGTCAGTATTGGCTTACCTGAACACCATGCCTCTGGACTGCACCAACATGCAGAAAGTCTTATAAGCCAGTCACAGTCAAATACAGTTTTAGAAGAAATTAATGAGGCTGTTCAACTGAGTTGTGTCTCCAGCATTCTTATGTGAACCAACATGGCTGTTGCATCATACTTTCTATTTAAGCAAGAGATACCACACACTACAAACTGAAGGCCAATGTTAACTGATTTGTCACTTGTTAATCCTGAAGTTGGACACTGCTTTCAAACAAGACTGGCAAATGCTTGCTATCTTTCTGAAAAAACTCAGCTGACTCTCTAGAAGCGTGCGATGCAACAGTGAAAGACTCAGCAGCTGAAAAAGTGAAGAACTCTCTCACCATATTCAAAATATGTGCATACATGGCTGATGAATGCACCAATGCAAATAGGCATCAAGTATTAACATATGCAATGACTTACCTTTGTCTGTGGTAGGCCAATAGATGCATTTTAGATGTTCAGGTTATAGAAGACCCATCACCTGCCATCTGTGACATCTTAGAAGACTTAAATAATTGTAAATTGAACCTCAAACAGATGGCTGCTTGTGCATTTGATGAAGCTACAAACTTCTCTGGAAGACATAGTGGAGTACAAGCTTTGCTCAGAGAAAAGTGTAACCCTAATCTCCCCTATACACACTGCAGAGGCCATCTACTAGCTAGTGCTAGTACGAGCTGCAGAATCTTCAAAAGACATTAAAAAGCCAAAAATGTAATGGCTTTTTTTTATATACTCTTGCTGGAAAAAAGAGTCCAAAAGGACTGAACATCTTGGAAACAAATAGAAGATACACTGTGATTGAAGTTCAAATTAGTCCAACCTGGG